AAAAATATAACTATTTTTTATTAAGTCTTTAGGTTTGTAAGCAATGTTTTTCTCATGCCTTTTTTTTCTTTTCACAATGGGCCTATCTAACATGCAAGGTAATTTTCATTTTAAGATCAAAAATACTTTTATAGATCATAAAATTTTCAAATTTCATATGCAAAATTTTCATAATGCCCGGTTTGTCATCAAACATTTTATAAAAAAAAACTATATTTTATCTGTTATTTTCAGTAATTAATCTCGCTCTCTATGGGTTCGGTAAATTTGACTGATCTCACAACCACCATAAAAAATTAGGAAATAAATATAAATTATGCCTCTTTCATTCTAGAATGAACACAAATTATAACACGAAAACATAAATGTTTGGACAGAATAGCTTAAATCTCATAACATTATATATTTATAATATTGACCTTTCACCCGTGCCTGGCTAACAATACAGAAGTTACAGCAAGGCGGCTCATGTGCACTCAGGTTACCATATCAAATAACATAATACTGACCTTTGGTCTGTACAAAGTAACTTGTCTTGGCTATGTTGTAGTCGACTAGTATTTTGTAAAATATAGCCACATTTCAATTATTATACATTATATATGTATGTAGATTATTGGTATTTTAATGAAGTTCTTAATGTTATTTTTCCTAAAACATAGAACAGTAAAAAAAGAAGTAAAGCAAACAATTATCTCTTCTAGTTAAGATCTTTGTACTCGGCTGCTGTTTGCCATAGGTTGCTAGGCCTTTAAAAATCTTGCACATGGAAGATATGAAACAAAATATTTTTTTTAGGTGTAAAAAATCATAAATTACTACATCAATACCATAGAATTCTGCTATAATTTATCAAGCTTAGTAACTAAGCTGTATTTGGGTCTAAAACAAATATGAAATTTTGAGCAGACTAAAGACACAACCTACCTCATTAAAAAATTGAATCGAAAGAAAGAAATGGTGGAAGGAATGTTAGAAAGGCTGAGAAAACCACTAGGGGGATATTCTGAGCTTCCGATTGGTTATTCACGTCATATATAGAAGTGTATAAAAGGGAGCATTTCCAAAAATGTAAAGAGGTGAGAGGGGTATCACTGTGTTTGATTTATTACATGAGCAATATCTTAGCAAACTGAAGAGATAAAAGGCTCTCATTTCATATTCTAGCTTGTCAATATCTGTAATTTGAGTTTCTATTTTGAATGTGAGTCAACAAACGAGATGACATGGCCTTTCACCTGTGACCCGTCTCGAAAGGGTTAACTAAGGTAAAGAATAATTTTATACTGTTCATTTGTTTCAAGACTACACCAATACATTGGTAAGCAGTAGATTTCTATATCAGCCACAACACTGATGAAGATGGCTTTTAAAACATTTATGTTGTCAAATGCTTTATACAGAAGATGGCTATGAAAATGTTAGTGTTGTCAAGTGCTTTACAAAAAAGATGACTTTCCAAATGAGTAGCTTCATCTATAATAGGCCTAATATTTCCTACATCCTGATGTACAAGTTTTTGGTTAGTTTTTGCCATAATTATTATGGAAGAAGAAACAATGTTAAATATAACTCATAATATTCACCTGAAATAAGATACTCAGTTGTATAGTGTATGAAAAACTTATTATTTTAACTAATCAGTTCCAGCAATTAATGCCATCTCCTGTGACTGCCACACTATCAATCAATCCTTTAACTCTTTCATCATGGGCCTCGG